GCTCTCTTTGAAATCCAATTTTACTTGTTTTTTTGATCAAGTTATTTGAATAAGAAATGTATGTACATGCTAAAGACTCAAAGGTCCAAAAGGGTATACAGGGCCAAAGAACCATTCCTCCCGCTTGTTTCCACGTACCAATTCCTTGCCAAAGAAGCAAATCACTGTTGTCAGTTTCTTGTCAACTCAGAATGTTTAATTCACTGGATATTAAAATCATTAACCAGGAATGGAAACATCTACCAAATTTCTATACTGCACTTCAAGCCTAAGCTAAAACTTGAATAATTTAAATACCAGTATCAGTCAAACAAATTACCAGACGCATGAATTAAGTCCAGAAATTCAATGTGTCAAAGTGCAATGTACCATGCGCAGCGGGACAACAGTTAACTAGGAGAGGAGTATACAGATATGCATTATACTATTCTTTCAACATTTCTGTGTATTTGAAACTTTTCAAAATCATAAAATACATACTTAAAAAGGACAGTGTAACAAAAGAATTAACCTATTGTGGAAAACTTTTGCGAAGACCAAACTGTTCAATAAATGCTGGACAATGAATATTATGTTATAAAAATGAATTCCAAGTCCACCATAACTACTAACTCATTTTTACAAGACCTTTCTCAGTGGATAATTCTCAAAAAGCATCTAAAACTGCTATGATTCATACTTTTTTATAACTGCAAAATGAATCTCAATATTTTATAAGAATGGTTGACTATAAATACTGTGTGCTATGGATGTCTAAGTTGACAATAAAGGTATCTAGCCCTTGGTAACCCAACATTAAACTACTGAAAGAATAGTACTGATTACAACTTTCTGAGATATGTAGGTAGAATACAAGAACATTGATCTCATTCAACTTTTTAAAAAATTTACTGACAGTGAAATAATTCTTGTTCTATCAAATCAATGCATGCATTTTAATATTGTTCAATTTCAAACCACCTTTGGGTCCAAAAGTATTTCATAGTTATGTCCCATTTTCACCTTCAAGATTGGATTAAAAATACAAGTTAAGAAGGTGCAAACACAGCCCTTGTAACAAACACAATTGTTCATATACGCTATCATCAAATGAAGATGCTTCTGTAGTTTCTATTCACTACGTCAAGGTCTTGATATTAAGATCTAATAAAGATCTGTAAATTTTATCTGAATATGCTCTGATCAGTTTGAAATTTTTGAGGAATGTGAACACTTAATGCTCACGAAGAAAAATTTATTTATACATCATGTACAACTATAATAGAGTATTTTTATTAAATAAAATCTAAACTGTGCAAAATATCAGGAAAAATCTACACTACATGTGACTTCTGTTTTACTTCAAAATAGAGTATTTGCACGTAAGATACAAAAGGACAAAAATTATATGATCTCACTTATTTGAAATGCCTAAAATGGGCAAATGCATAGAGACAAAAGTTTATTAGTGGTTACCAGAGACTAGGGGGAGGAGGAAAAGGAGAGTCATTGCTTAAGGAGTATTAGAGTAGGGAAAAATATTTAGAAATGAATGGTTGTATGACATGGTGAAAGTAATTAATATCACTGAATCGTACACTTAAAAAAGGTAAAAATGGTAATTTTATCATATACCTAATTTACCTTTTAAAAACTAAAAGCACTGTGGGGAGTGTACATACAGAAAAGTATGTAGAAAATTTATAAACATTCTTTGAAACTTGATACTGAGAACCATACCTGTCCATTTAAGATCCTTGTAAACAGGGTGTTCTTATCTTTCAATTTTAGCTCAAGATCCATAAAAGTCAGCTTATTTGTGCTGACCTGAAATTTGTCATTAGTGAATAGTGCACCAGATATTCTATTGTAGCATTCGATCGGTGCCAGCCCTCTCTTCTTAGGAGGAGTACACCAGTCAAAGCTTAAACAGAATAAAATCTCAGTCAGTGAAAAGATTAGACTATAGAACAATACAATTTCAGCAAAAGTCAAAACTTACTCTTCAACAGATGTATATGGTATTAATCGTCCATTCCAAAAACATTCAAAAATAGGCCTTTTCCCTCTTGCTGCTTTCTCAATTATGAAACAATCATCATCATCATCTTCATCTTTTAGTTCTAGATCAAAGAGGCAAGTGAAACAAAATGTTTACTGTTATACAATATACACAATTTTTGTCACTAAGAAGTCAATTTCTATAAGTAAAGTATTAAAGTTGCTTCAGAGACATGGTAACACAAACCCATATATCTCTCAAATTGCATTCTATAAAAACTAAAGGTAGTTTTACTCTCTGCCCTCAGAAAGGGAAGAGTTCCAAAGTAGATGCCACATTATCAATGGTGTTTGCATTTAAAAGTCAATAATTATCTACTTATACACTAAGCAATCTATCATCAGAGTACCACACTAGCTGCCGGGCCTGCAATCTTTAAAACCTATGTATCAAGTAAAAAATACTCACATCCCCCAATATTACTCCCTATAGCTGAGTCCTTCCTCCCTACATATATAGGAACCTGAATCCTATACCTAAAACAAGTTTTCACAATTCTTTCAGACCCAGTATGTTCAAATGAAAACCATCTCGTCAATCTACAGCATCTAGTTACAGCCAGTTTATTAGTTTGGATGAATCAGCCAACAATACTGGATTTAAGTTTACCTTATATAATAAATTATTAAATTTTCAAAAATCAGACTCAGGTAAGCATAAAATATGCACACAGAAATGTATCATAAGATATGTTGCTAGACATCAAAAGCGTAATTAGCATAATTATAACATTACTATGTTTAGTAGCAATACATTCTCATATATCCAGATAAATTAGGATCAGACATTACGATCCTGATACAGTAACACCTCAGTTACCCTGACATAAAGTCACCCACCTAAAATACAGCCTTCCTCTCCCCACAAAAAACCCTCATGAGAAGTCCCTATGTAAAAGTTCCTTCCAATAAAATGAAATCACTTTGCTCTTAGAAGAGAATCCATCTGACCATCACTCAACTTATCTGCTCCTATTGCAGGACATCATTTGAAGAACTTTATCTTGCTCTTTGCCTACCAGCAGTGAAAATTTAGAAACAGCAAATTAAAAAGGGGTCAGAGACCTCACAGGAGGCAGAGCCACTGATTAAAACATGCATGGAACGCTTCCTAAATAGTGTTGGGCACTATTCTAAGGACTTGGCAACAGTTTCTTACTTAACCTCAAAACACCTCTACAAGGTATGCACTATTACCCTCACTTCACAGATGAGGAAACTGAGGCAGGGAGTGGTCTGCCCAAGTTTACACAGTAGAAAGTAGCAAAGATGAAATTCAAACTCAGGAAATACAGTTCTAGAACCCACAACCCTAAGGATGTACGAAGAATGTAGTCTGGATGAGAAAATTTATATTGTTAATGTATAAATTCAATGCAATCCCAATAATCCCATTAGAACTTTTTAAAGTGAATATATAAACCCGATTCCAAAGTTTATCTAGAAGAGCACAAGCGTAAGAATTAAGAATAATCTCAAAAAAGCAGCATAGTGAGAATGTCTTGCCCTAAAGATATCAATATACAGGATATAGCTATAAGACAGTATTATTACTCATGTATAAAAACGCAAAACAGATCAATGCCTCACAGTAAAGAATCCACATCTCTGTACTTACAGGAACTTAATATATTATAAAAGTGAGAGTTCAAACTACTGTGGAATTGTAACATCCAGTAATTTGGTGCTGGGAAACTGAACATCCACATGGAAAATCTTAAGTCCCTACCTCACTTCACACACGAAGAAGATTACAGATGCATTAAAGATTAAATACAAAAGGACAAAAACAAAACCCACTACAGGATATTTTTATAATCTTGAGGTATAAGAAGCCTTTCTATAGCAAGATAAAATCAGGAAGCATAAAGAAAAACCTGATAGATATGACTAAGCTAAAACTAACTTATAAATACCAACATACTCAAAGAAAAAAAGGAAGACAATAAGGAATATATAAAAGATTAATATGCAGTGTATCGCTAAAAGTTCAATTCAGTAAGAGATCTATAAGAAAAGAATATATGTTTCTTAAAGCCAGTGCTGTATTCATCTGGAATTGCATATACATAAAAATCAAGAATTATAAAATTACAAATACCTAACATATGAAGAAGACTTGCACAAGGAAAAAAATTAAAATATTTATTCATCTAACCTTAAGAGCCAAACTAGTAACAATAATTAAAAAAACAAATCACTGTCCTAAATCACAACTTCACATTTTGTAGCTAAAATAATAGATTTAACATACTTGACGGAAAGCATGGATCATCAGGGTAAGTTTCTCTATCATATAAGAAAGGATGATATCGGATAATCCCTTCCACTACACCGTCTCCTTCAACATGAGCCTTGAACTCAAAACTATCAGCTGCTGTGTTTATATACAACGTCTGCATGTCATCTTGTATTTCCCTTAGGTTGACAATCTTAGGTGCCTTCCCTTTTTCAAACATAGAAATCTAAAATAAAAATAAAACAAAAATAATTAAATTCTATGGTGATTTCACTTTTGTTCTCAGCTACAATCCAACAACAGAACAGGCAAAAACTATTTTTATTTGCACACGTAATCATCTAGTTTAAAGAAATATATGTATATATACGTGTGTGTGTTGTGTGTATTTATAGGTTAAATAGCTTTAAGTAGCATCTCAATAAGGAATATGCTACTAAAAACAGAAAATAAACAAAGGAACAGCAAATTAGAGCTGAAGGACAGATAAGTCATGAGCAGATTTAATTCAAGTTTTCTTGCTAGAGGCAGAAAGTGGGAAAATGACGTACGTGAAATTCTAATGTGTACACAAGGACATTGAGAACCCAACACTAAAATGTTCTCTGCTTCTAAATCATCAGTCAGTCACCACTTAGACTTCTATGAAAGAAAGAAAAGTTATGTCCCTTTTCCTCCCTGCTTCAAGACATGAAGTTCAGCAACAACTCATATGTCTACAGAAGAGAGAGGAAAAAGAGAAACCAAATAGTAAATAACGGTTGAAGGAAAACATATCTAAGAATGATCTGTTTACTCAGATATCAAATTACCCAAGTACTTTGGTAAAAGACACATAAAGAGGAGCGGCCTAATTACTGACTGACTTGTTATTCAGAGTCACTTCTGACTGGAACAGATACCTAATAATCCATAGTATTTTAAGATGGATTTTGATCTTACTTCAATATCTATGTTGTTGAAAGGTCCAACTTCTTTTGATGTACGAATTTCATTTCCTTTTGGGCCATGAATATAGTAATGATAAATATGCCTAAAATATAGAAGAAAAACTTTATACTTTAATTCACATAAAATTACAGTTCATATAATCTTCTAAAAAAAAATTAACAGCTACTTACTAAGTGTCAACCAATTATACTAAGTATTTTTTTGAGAACCCCACTTTACACTTCCAAAAAGTATAGTTCATCAAATAAAGTAGACTAGAATAAAGTAGAATAGGCTATAATTCTATTGATTAGAAATATTTTAGAAAGGACTTAAATATCAGGGCGTCTATTGGATTAATTATGTTCTCAATGAAGAACATCATTCTAGAACAATTCTTACCCTAACATTCCCAAAACAAGTAAAACTAATGCATTATATGAGTTGGAATCAAATTGACGGGAACAGATTTGGTTTTATCCTACTGAAAACAACTGCTTCAGAAATCTTCGCTATTTTTTAAGTAAAAGTTTAAAAAGACTGTATTTTGGTGGAATTATTGAGGGCTATAAAATATCACATCTTTAGGTACTACTCAAACAGGAATTTGAAATATTTCATTGTAGGACTTTTAATCAAAAAAATAAGTTTATTATCCTACCTACTCTTTAAAATGCCATTGAGATGAAAGGACATCTGAAAATCTTTAGATCTTTTTTCAGATATCTCAAAATAAAAGTGTGACACCATAATGAATAGTAAGTTTACCATCATATATCAAGAAAGATTGCTTTAGATAGCATAATAATTTCCTGTTTCAAAGAATAAAGTTATACATTACTCTGTTACAGCAGGACTATATTCTAATGATGTGTTATCTGCACTGAGCTCCTTCAGCTAAATTATCATTTAATTTTTTAAATAGCTAATATAATATGTACTTAGGGAAGAAAAACCCAAAGTTCTTAAATATCTTGGGCTAGAAGGCCAATAAATAGCAATATTCAAGAATAAAAAAGATGCTCCTATAAACCAAATTTATTTTCCACGAAAGACAAGAAATTTTAAACTATATTACATACATTTATATTTAAATAGAGAATCTCAAATTAAGTGCAATTTTTTTTTTAGTAAATGTAAAATGATATTTTTTTAAAACATGCGTTTTTTGGAGATGTACCCATTTTGTAAGACTTCAGACTAATGCAAACTATGGAAACAATCCAGTAAATAGTCTATATTATACAGCTACAGAGAAAAAAACAAAGCCATTAAATAAATATTCCTCTGGCTTAGCATACTGAAATATATAGTCTCTAGAATAATATTAAGTTTTACTGGAATAACTATACACTGATTTATTTAAGGTATTTTTGTATAAAAATTAGCATAGTGTACTTCCGAAAACACCTTACAGGGGTTTGTTTTTTTTTTAAAAAAAATAGGCTTGATATATTCCTTCAACAAACATTTATTGAGCATCTACTATTTAGCAGGAATTCTTCTAGACACTGGGGATACAGTTAGTGAAAAAAAAATAAAAAAAGACATTCCAATAAGGGAAGGCCAACAAAAGAATAAGTAAAGTACGCAGTATGGAAAATTATGCTATAGAGAAAAAGCAAAAAAGGGGTTATGCGAATGGTAGTGCTGAATTTCATAAATCAGAAAGTTTATTTTAATTTTACAATAGGTGTCAAAAAGCCTATGCCAGATGAATGGATAAAATGTGGCATATACATACAATGGAGTATTATTCAATCATAAAGAGAAATTAAGTCCTGATACATGCTACAACATGAATGCATGAAAGAAGCCAGGCACAAAAAAGACAAATATTGTATGACCTCACTCACATGAAATATCTAGAATAGTCAAAGGTATACTGCTTAACGGGGCAGGAGGGAGGGGGAAAGAGGGAGTCAGCGTTTAGGAAGCACTGAGTTTCTGTTTATGCTGATGAAAAACTTGGCAACAGATACTGGTAATGGCTGCACAACTGATTAATGTCACTGATGTCACTAAATTGTACAAATGAAAAACATTAAATTGGCCAATGTGTCATATATATTTTTACAACAATAAAAAATTTTTTAGACACAAACTCTGTGCCTCTCAGCCATAAACAGAAATTCTGATACATGCTATGACATGGAGGAATCCTGAAAACCATGCTGAGTTAAGTAGACACAAAAGGACAAATATCGTATGATCCCACTTAGACAAAAGTTTATTAGTGGTTACCAGGGGCAGGTGGGAAGGGGAGATGGGGTGTCAGTACACAAAGGGGTACTGAGCTTCTGTCTGGGGAGATGAAAAACTTCTGGAAATAATGGTGATGGCTGTACAATGTAGTGAATGCAATTAGTGCCACTAAACTGTATACTTAAAAATGGTTAAAATGGCAAATGTTTTCTTATATACAACTTACCACCAAAAACAAAAGACAAAAAAACCTGTGTCTCAAATAATGCTCAGTACACCACAGGTGATCTATAAATATTTACAGAAAGACCCGTTTTAACACCAACATCAGAGTACTGGATGCTGCATTGAAGGAAATGAAACAAGAGCAAAAAAAATACCAAAAAGGCTTCAAATGCATCTGTAATATTTTCTGTCTTAAAAGAGAGAAGTAGCAACACGTCCTGAATCAAATGTAATTACTTACGCTAACTGTCGTGTCCAAAGATGGAAATAATTTTTCAAGTACTGTATGTGCTCTGGTTGTACTCCTGTGATAACCACAGCAGTAAAGCTATCTTTTTCCTTCTCCTCTAAGATAAGATGGTGTAGAAATCTTTCATCATCATTTGTAATGTGAACAGAATCAGATGGCTGTAAGAGTGAATACAAACAAAAAAGATTAGATACACCTAAACTTTACAAATACCATTTACATCAATTTTAATGTAATTCACTTGGACAGTTTCGGAAACAGGCTTCAGAAAAACTTTTAGAGGAAACTGGGCCAATATAACAAACCAGCTGAGTGTGTGATAACGCTGAGTGGACAGGGAAACTTAGAGATTGCTAAATTGGCATACATAAAGCATGGCTATCATATCCTCTAATACTATCCCATAACTGATAATGATGATAAACCAATTTTAGAATCACACAAACACAAAAAGGTAAAGACAACAAATACTGAGTTGAAAATGCCTAAAAATTTGAGGACACTTACCGTAGGGTATGGAATACCTATTACTTAACTTGGTCAAGACCAATGCCCAGCCTTCCATGTTCAAGAAAACTAAGGGGCAGCCTGGATCTAGCTGGCTTAGCCCAAACGCAGTGTGTTTAAAAGGAAGTAAAATCATCCTGGGCACCAGCCTACTTCCAAGAGAATAACTACAGCTTGGGGAAGGGAGGTGGGGGGTTGAGAATAAAAAAAAAAAAACAACAAAAAACTCATTGCCATCAAGAAGTAGGGGGTTGATGGTAAGAATTACAAACTTCTCGATTTGTAGTATGAGTCTATTTGTACTAAAAATTGCATGCATACATGTTGCTGTTACATAAAAATCTGTAATGATAAAGATACACACTAAACTTCTTTTTTTAAGTAACCATGTATTATTATTATTTTCCTCAAAGAAGAAAGATGTGGCAGTCTGCTTCTGTAAAGATTACAGCCTTGGACAACCTATGGGGCAGATCTACTCTGTCCTTTAGGGTAGCAATGAGTCAGAATTGACTCAATGGCAGTGGGTTTTGGGATTATTACTTCCTAATAAAAAAAATTAAAACGAACTCTTCAAAACCATTCCAACACATTCCTACACATTAAATTACTAATATTTTAGCTACAAACATTACAAGTAACATTTTATATACTTTGAGAGTTACTAGATCAGCTGGGTTTACCAATGATACAGGTTCACTATCCAAATAGTTATCAAGCATCTTCTAAATCCTAAATTAAATGTTATGCTAATTCTGGGCAAACTCCATCTGGCAGGAGATGAAAAACAAATGTTTAAAAAAAAGTGTGCCACTATAAAGACATGAACCAGGAGCTACAGGAGACAGGGTGACATTCATCCAGCAAACAACTAAAAGGATATTCCAGACATATAAGAACATTAAGGATTTGACAGTATAAGGGAAACAAGGTATAAAATATAAACATGATGAAAGATGAAGCTAGGAAGGCTGAATTAGAGCAGCTGAAAATGGGCAGAAGAGAGGGTAGATGAAAGAAACTACTGCAAAAGACAATTAAACATAGTTAACAAGAAGAATTACGGTTTCTAACTGCGGATGCCATTAATTGTTAAGGATGGTTGGGAGGGTTAAGGAGGGAAATGAGAATGGTTTATACATAATGTTTCATTTCAGATATACTAAATGTGAGTTATTTACAGAACATCTGATAAACGACATCTAGTGGAAACTAGAAATATGGGTCTGCTGGATATGATCAGTTGGTATTTAGCATTCATTCACTCCTACCACCTTTTATTGTGCCCTACTGGGCTACAGAGGTATGAAAGCCAAAAATGAGGCAGAGGCCTTTTGACAGTTTTATGTCATCATGCAAGGTCAATGAAAGGTCAGTATCCGGCTCCAGCTTCAAGTGTCAAAAGGCCCTTGCATCACAGGCTATGGTCAAAAATTCTAGGTTCCAGTGTTGGGGCAAGTGTGGCAGTGAGCCCATCTGAACTGCCAGATCACAGATATGGCAGGGTTGGATTCCAGCTCCAGTGGCGGTCCTCCAACTTCGTGATTGTAGCAGACGTTGCCACATCGCTGGAAGGTGGACTCTGAGTGTCTAGGCATCATCCAGGAGGCTCAGCCTAGAATGCATCCCTTCAGCCCTTCCAATAATCATGGAAACATCTAATTCCTTTTATTAAATCCTTTTCTGCTTAAAGCACCTAGAATAGCTTGTTTCCTTTACTGAACCCAGACTGATTCAGTATCTCAATCTTGAGAGATAAGTCTTCACAAGAAATACAGATCTGACAGTTGTTATTTATACATATATATAAATACTATATAACATACATATAATTTTATATATATGTAAAAAACACACACACACATATCTCCACAGATGAACAAGACTGCTGATTTATAAATCAAGAACCGCCAACCTGCCCATAATCTGGAATCCACTAACAAGTAAGGGACAGAGGAAGAGTCAAAAAAAAACAAAACAAAACAAAAAAAAGAAACAAAGAAAGAAAAGTAGGATGAAAATAACTGGTATGAAAAAGGAAAGAACTAGGTACCTTATTAAAACCCAAAACCAAACCCGTTGCCGTCAAGTCAATTTCTGACTCGTAGTGACCCTGTAGGACAGAGTGGAAATGCCCCATAGGGTTTCCAAGGAGCGCCTGGCGGGTTTGAACTGCCAACTTTTTGGTTAGCACCTGCAGATTTTAACTACTACGCCACTAGGGTGTCCAGGTACCTTTCTGGTACTCATTAAATGTTTGTTGGAATGAACTAAGCATAAAATAAAGGAAAAACTAGTACAAAAATTAAGGTACAAGAGATCCCAGTTCTATTCAAGTTTTAACATATCTACAGTTTTAAAAACCACTTAAACTCTCAATTCCTGTCTTTCATCAGCTCTAATTAATAGGCAAACATTTCTGCCAATATGCTTTATAGGGCTTTGTGATGGTAAGGTAAGATTAGTTTAAGCATACTGTTATGTAAATATATCAATATACATAAACTGTTAATTAAATGCAACAAGTTTAAATGACAAAAAAGTGAGATGAACAAAGTCAAATTTCCTGGACAGAGGAGACCGTTAAGTTATCTAACTTTATTATCTAATAAAAATGGCTAATAAACACGAAGATAAAATATAAAAAATCACTCAGCCCACTAGTAATGAAAGAAAAGGTATTATTGTCACCTATAAAACTGCCAATATTTTGCTTTTTTTTCCTCTTCAGATACTATACTTTTATGCAAATAACGCATACCTTCTACGTTTGTATGCCAGCTGCGCCCTCCCCCACGAGGTACTTTCATAAGTACCACTATGCCCATTTCTTTTACATGTTGCTGTGAAAAAAAATTAGCATAGTGGCAACTACAAAAATACCTTGCAGGAGTATATTTGATTTTTAGCTCAACTTTTCAGAAAAGCAATTTTGTAATACATACCATGAACATTTAAAAAATTCAAATTCATTATCACAGTTATTAAAACTTTAACAATCTCCTAGGTGGCAAAAATGGTTTGCACTCAACTGCAAACCTAAAAGTTGGTGATTTGAACCCACCCAGAGATATCGCGGAAGAGAACGCCTGCCAATTTGTTTCTGTAAATATTATACCCTAGAAAACCCTATGCAGCAGTCCTACTCGATAATGCACTGTGTTTGCTACGATTGGAACTGACTTGACAGCAACAACATTCTAAGAAAAATCATTTGCAACTGAGGTAAAATTTTATGCAAAGATATTCACTACAATATCTTTGCAATTACAGTAAAATCCTGGAAATAGGCTAAGTGTTCAACAGAAGAGTTAAATTACTGTATATCACCCAAAGGAACGTTATGAAGCCACTAAAATATGTGCTGTATACCAAAAAATTCTACAACATGGGGAAATATTCAAAATGTTAACTGAAATGTGGGATCAAAACTTTCATAAATAGTCAAAATAGTTAGATTAGAAGGAAATCCACCAAAATGTTATTAGTATTTTTCTCTGGCATTTGGGACTATTTACATTTTCTTTATACTTTTCTGTAAGATTTTCTTCAATCTCTTTTAGAATCAGAAAAGAATCCTTAAAAGGCTCAAAATAACTTCAATGCTTTTAAAATGAAAAACTAATTTATTTTGAAAATTCCCTCAAGTTTTTAATAAAGCACCAATTCTGGTATCTTAAATAGAAATTAGAAAAAGGCTTCTGTCATATTAACTGTCCAAAGGAATAAATTTCCAATTATTGAGTTAAATGTGTTGTACCTTTCTGTTTCTAATATATCCACTGTATATTGCCTCTTTATTTTTCTCCTTCTTTTCAAAGTCTTCTTTAGAAAGCAGAAGTTCATGAACATCTTGGGAATCTGCAGGTTTGCTTATCATCTGTCATAGTAAACAGAATACTTTAAAAATTCCTAATAGTTAAACTCATTTGTTAATTTAGACAGACTCAATCTCAAAATATTTTGACCAACTTTCATTTATAAGAATCTTTTGACTTACTCTGGCTGATTGTCCAACAAAGAAAACAGCCTGCTTGCCGCCAACACCAAAATAGGAAATATCACTATTTAAGCTGCGTGGCACTGGTACTGGACGAACATATCCTGAATGATCACTAAAATTAAACATTACATTAATGCAATGATTTTAAAGAAGCTATTTAGGCACCAAAGAAAATTTTTATAGCATTTTTATTAAGCTTCAGTAAAATGATCCCCAAGCCAGGTAACATTCCTATTCAAAGGTGAAAGCATCAGAGCTGAAAGTTAAGCATCACCTACTGCAGGGGTTCTCAAAGTGCAGTCCCCAGGTGAGCAGGCATCATCTGGGAACTTTAAGAAATGTAAATTCCTCAACACCACCCTACTAAATCAGAAAACCTCTCAGCAAAATGGACTAAAGAAATTTCTTTGTCCTTATAAAACTGTATGTTTCCAGAACCTTCTGTTCAAAAACATTTGTTACTTCAAAATGTGTTAAAATATTATCTAAAGAATAACGGAATATATCAAAAAGGATTCTGAATTCCATATATCCTGAGATATATCCTGGGAGCTCTGAGAGAACCTCCCACCTCACAATAACAACATCCTGGAGAAGAGGCATCGCTGGTCTCTCAAAATATAAACAGCCTCTCCAAGGACAGCATTTCCCACTATCAGAAACAAACAGAAAATATTCCATGCAAATAATGACCAAAAGAGAGCTGTGGTGGCAATCTTAATACCAGACAAAATAGACTTTAAGATAAAATCCATCAGAAGAGATAAAGATGGACATGATATAGTGATAAATGGGTCAATTAATTAAGAAGACTTAACAATCATAAATACATATGCACCCAACATCGGGCCATATATAAAGCAAACACAGAATTGAAGGGAGCACTAGACAATACTACAATAATAGTTGGAGATTTCAATACATCACTTTCAATATTGGACAGAACATCTAGAGAAAAAAATCAACAAGGAAACAAAGAACCTGAATGACACTATAAACCAACTAAACTTAAGAGACATATATAGAACACTCTACCTCAAAACAGCACAATACACATCTACTCCAGTGCACATGGATCATTCTACAGGACAGACATTTTAGGGCAGAAAGCAAGTCTTCATAAACTTACAAAGATTGAAACCATACACAGTATCTTCTCTCTGGACACAACAGTGTGAAGCTAGAAATCAATAACAGAAAAAAACCTGGAAAATACACAAACATATGAAACTAAACAACGTACTAGTAAAGCAACCAAAGGGTCAAGGAAGAAATCAAAAGAAAAAAGATGGCAATAATCAAAATAAAAAATGAAAGTGGTGACATGACAACTGAGCAATAGAAATAAAGAGAATTATGGCAGAACATCATGAACTGTTCATAACCTAGATAAAATGGACGAATTCTTAGAAGCACACAACCTACCCAAACTGACTCAAATGGAAATAGAAAGTCTCAACAGACCCATAACAAGTAAAGAGATCAAATCAGTGATTAAAAATCTCCCAACAAAAGTTCTGGACCAGATGGCTTCATTGGGGAATTCTACCAAACACAGAAGAGTTGACACCAATACTGTTTAAACTCTTCCAAAAGATACAGAAGGAAGGAATACTCCATAATTCTTCCCAAAAGGCAAACATAACCCTGATACTCAAACCAGACAAAGGCACCACAAGAAAACTACAGGCCAATATCTCTTATGAATATACATGCAAAAATCCTCAACAAAATGCTAGCAAACAGAATCCAACGGCATATTAAAAGAGTCATACACTGTGACCAAGTGGGATTTTATCCCAGGAATCCAGGGATGGATCAACATTAGAAAATCGATCAAGACTTCAGTAGAACAAAAAAACAAAAAGAACCACATGATCATTTCTATGGATGCAGAAAAAACATCTGATGAAATTCACATCCTTTCTTGATGAAAACCCTAAAGATGACTGGAATAGAGGGTAAATACCTCAATACGATTCAGAGCAAATATGAAAAGCCAACAGTCAACATTATACTTGATGAAGAAAGACTGAGAGTTTTGCCCTTGAAATCGAGAACAAGACAAGGGTGCCAGCTCCCACTACTTCTATTCAATAAAAGTCCTAGCCAGAGCAACAAGACAAGAAAAAGAAATAAAATGTATCCAGATTGGAAAAGAAGTAAAATTTTCTCCATTTGTGGATGAAATGAGCCTATATACAGAAAATCCGAGAGACCACAAGAAAACCTCTAGAGCTAATAGAGGAATTTAGCAAAGCTGCAGGGTACAAGGTCAACAAGCAAAAATCAGTTGGGTTTCCAAGGTTGAGTAAGGACAGTGTTGACATGTAGTGGGGTTGTTAACCATTGTCATAGGGCAACATGTGTACTAATTGTTTAATGAGAAACTATTTTGTTCTGTAAACCTTCATCTAAAGTGAGAATAGCAGCACAACTGGAAGAACGTAATCGATGTCACTGAACTGTGCATGTAGAAATTTTTGAAATGGTGTAACTTTGGCTATGCACATTTTCACCAAAAAAAAGGTCAAGAAGGGAGAGGGTTGGGACATGTCCTGGGGTTGTTAACCAATGTCATAAAACAATACGTGTACTGACTGTTTAATGAGAAACTACTTGTTCTGTAAACCTTCACCTGAAGTACAATTAAAAAAAAAAATAGTTGGGTTTCTATATACCAGCAATGAGAAATCTGAAAGGGAAATTAGGGAAACAATTCCATTTACAATTAGTATCTAAGAGAATAGAATACCTAGGGATATATCTAACCAGGGACATGATGGACTTATACAATGAAAACTATAAAATACTGCTGAACGAGATTAAAGAAGACTTAAATAAATGGAAAGATGTTCCATGTTTATGGATTGGAAGACTTCATATTGTTAAGATGTCAATACTACACAAAGTGATCTACAGATTTAACGCAATCCCAATCAAAATTCCAACAACCTTCTTTATAGAAATAGAAAAACCAATCCTCAACTTTATATGGAATGGCAAGAGGCCCCAAATAGCTAAAACAATGTTGAAAGAGAAGAACAAAGTAGGAGGACTCATACTTCCTGATTTTAAAATATATTATACAGCTACAGTAATCAAAACAGCCTGGTACTAGTATAACTACAGAGACATAGACGAATGGAATAGAATTGAGAGTCCAGAAATACACCCACATATCTATGGTCAACTGATTTTTGACAAGGATGCTAAGTCCATTTGATGGGGAAAGAAGAATCTCTTCAATAAATGGTGCTGAGAAAATTGTATTTCCACATGCAGAAGAATGAAACAGGATCTATGCCTCACACCATACACAAAAATAAATTCAAAATGGATTAAGGACCTAAACGTGCAAACTAAAATCATAAAACTCTTAGAAGAACAAGTAGGGGTAATGCTGTCAGGACTAGTCTCAACAATGGATTATCTAATATAATAACAAAAGCACAAACAGCAAAAGACAAAATAAATAAACGGAACCTCATAAAAATTAAGAACTTTTGTTCATCAAAAGATTTTACGAAAAAAGTGAAAAGACAAGCTACTGACTGGGAGAGTATCTTCGGAAACTATGTATCTAATAAGAATCTAATCACGTAAATATACATAAAATTTCGACAATTTACCAACTTGACAACAAAAAGACAACCCAATCATAAAATGGGCAAAGGACTTGAATAGAAATTTACCAAAGAGGGTATTCAAATGGGCACCAAATACATGAAAAGATGCTCAGCATCATTAGCCAGAGAGATGTAAATCAAAACCACAATGACATATCATTTCACTCCCACTAGGATGGCTAAGATAGAGAAATAATAATAATAACCAGAAAATAACAAATGTTGGCGAGGATATGAGGAAATTGGAAGCCTTTTCCATTGCTGGTGAGAATGGAAAATGGTACAGTTACTGTAGAAAACAGTGTGGAAGTTCCTCAAAAAATTAAAAATAAAACTACCATATAACCGAGCAATTCTATTCCTAGATTTATACCCAAAACACTTGAAAGCAGAGACTCAAAAAGAGACTTGTACACCAGTGTTCACTGCAGCACTATTCACAATAGCCAAAAGGTGGAAACAACCTAAATGCCTATCCACAGATGATGAATGGATAAACAAAATGTGGTACATACATACAACAGAATACTACTCAGCCAGTGGGAGAAATGAAGCCTTGATACATGCTACAGTAAGGATGGAGCGTGAAGACATTATGTTGAGCAAAATAAGCCAATTACAAAACGACAAACACTGTATGACCTCATTTCTATAAAAAGACAAGAAAAGGCAAAATGAGAGACCAAAGATTATTAGTACTTACCATGAGCAAGAGGGAGGGGAAAAGGGGGGTTAACAGTGATGGAAAAATCGCATTAAGGGTAGGGTTGCACAGTCAAATTAACTGCTGTCAGTAAATTGTACACCTGCAAAAAGTTGAACTGGCAAAAATTGTGTGATAGATGTATTTACCAAAAAAAAAAATAGAAGCTACTGAGACTGCTTATGTACAACCAAACTCCTCAGGAGATTTCTGGTTCCTTAGTTTGGGGGATTAGGGTCATGGTTTCATGGGAACTTAAGTAGCTTAATGATGTGTTTAGTATTTCTGTTCTACCTCCTAGTTTGCTGCATAGTGCCTGGAGACTTAAAAGCTTCCAAGTGGCAATCCAAGACACAATTGGTCTTTACTGACCTAAGGAAGAAGGAGAATAAAGAACAGGAGGAGGATATGGAATATGTGGCTAATTACCTCCATGAAAAACTGCCTCCTTTGCCAGGAGACAAAAAGAACTGGATGGTGCCTGGCTATCATTACTGAGCATTTTGAACAAGATTCCATAGAATTCTGATCAAAATGGGGAAAATGCAGAACAGGGTTTTAAATTCTCATGGAATCCAGACTTCCTGGTGCCATGGAGGGTGGATGAACCCCTGAAACTACTGACCTGAGAAAATCTTTAAAGTAAAAATATCCCCTAACGTCTTCTTAAAACCAAACAATAGTTTAGCTTATTGAGTAAAAAAGATTGGCCTTGAGCACTACACTCTTTTAAGAACTATCTATAAAGGATCAAATTGAAAATAGCAATTCAGAAGATTA